TCCACGTGGTTCAAACTTTGTTGACCAAAAGCAACCTAGTTCCTGGCCTCTACAGCCGTATTACACCGGCAGTTGGATACTCTAGAAGTAGCATAAATACCAATTAATGATTCAGTTATATATATAACTATTGTTGTGAAAGTGTTGTACAGTCGATTACGAATTTAGATTGCAGAGAGTTTGTTCTGAGCGCTAAAGGCACTCACGATAGAGCACATTTTGCTTTATTCTAACATGGGAGCAGCGCAATGTTGAAGTCGACTCCAAAGCACAATCCTACCGCCGCCTGCTGGAGTCTACAGGCTGATCTGCCGCCTCCAACCCCCGCTTCTTCCATGAACCTGTGTCTTTATTCATTGATGGCGTTAAGTCGTCCCGACTGGATCAGGCTCACATCATGGAGCTGGTCTCTCTTCCTACCCTTCGTATGTATTGGTCCTCCAAGGACCGCCTCTCCCAGCAGTCCATCCGGGAGGTCGATCGGTTATATCTTGCACGCGCCATGATGGCCCTCCCAGCAAATCTTCAACGCTGGACACCCAAGCATATCTCCGGTATGACAGGTGTGGGAAAATTCTTGGCCATTTGGGACCATTCGGCGAAGAGCTCTTGCCCCAGGCGCTCCTCCTGCCCCGTGGAAGATCACCTCCATGTCCCTTGCTGTTCTGCTCCTACTGCAGCTGCAGAATGGTCAAAACGCCATCTGGCCTTCTGGACCTGGATGCAGACTCAGCAGACTGCCCCAGAGATCGAAACCTTCCTCTTTGAATACCTAAAGACAGTCCGTCAGCCTTCCTTGGGCGTCCCCACCGTCCGAGCCTGGTCCCACCATCCCCACCTCTTCCAAAGTGCCATCTCCTCCCAAGCCAAGCTTGGGGCCCAGGGCCTCCTTGAAGGCCTAGTGTCCCCCAACTGGAGACACCTGCAGGTCCTTCACTTCTCCTACATTGGCTCCAAGAAGTCCGCCAACCTTTGGGCCTCCCGCCTGATCCAACAACTGATCCGGATCGGGCACTACATGTGGAAAGACCGCAACCGGCTTGCCCACTCTGAAGACAGCTCCTGGTACACGGCTCGCAAGCGGGAGATTGACATCGGCATCCGCGAACAGTTCGCCATGGGCCTGATGGATATCCCCCCACGCTTGCAGTACCTCTTTCGGGACTCCCACGAAACTGTCCTCAACAAATCACTCGAAGATCGTCAACATTGGCTGCGCCTTGTCTCCCGTGAGAGAGCGATCAACCGTCGCTCTCTAGCCAGGCAATGCCAGATGATCTTTGACCTGGCGCGACCCGCCAACCCAACATTGACTCGGCCACCCGGCGCAAGTCCATAAACAGACAGATGTCTTGGTCATCTATCTGCCCCCTCTATGTTTCACTCTCCCTCTGTCCATCACAGGACTAGGGACCTGCAGTCTGTCACGTAGATGGTGGCCACATTGTTCTGGAACACTGTGCCATTGGGACGCTCTCCATTCACTTGGATCGATACACCCACAGCAGTAGGGCGCAAGAACAATTGGCTTCTCACCTGCTACACAATCATGCCCACCACCACCTTCAAAAATCTCAAAAAACAAAATAAAAATACGCCGCCTCGAGTGGCAAGATCGGTTCTACATGTGCAAGGGTGCAATGTAATATGCGATAGAGCAACTTCCCTGGGATTGGATGCCTCAAACTGGTTCAACAGTACTGGACTCACCTCTGTATGGTAAATGCCCATGACAGCCGTTAACGGCAATCTAGAAACTTGAGACAGTTTTAATACAATTAATGCATCAGTTATATGCTTGCGGATGGACTGCTCGGAGAGTCGGTCCTTGGAGGACCAATACGCACGGAGGGCAGGAAGAGAGACCAGCTCCATGATGTGAGCCTGATCCAGTCGGGACGACTTGATACGATCAATGAACAACGCCACAGGTTCATGGAAGAAGCGGGGGTTGGAGGCACCCGATTGGCCTGTAGTCTCCAGCAGGCGGCGGTAGGATTGTGCTTTGGAGTCGACTTCAACATTGCGCTGCTCCCACCAGTCCAGTTGGGAGAAAGGACGGTGCTTATCCAAGCGACCCTTGACATGACGCCGATGAACTTGGAGAGGAAGGTGGCAAAGCAAGGCCCGGATGGTGGAGGCCAAGTCAAACTGCGCGCCAGACAAGGACAGATGTGTTTCAGAGAAGCACTTATCCAGGGCAATAAGACGGTCGCAGGCCATCTCCACCGAGGGTTGGCTGGCAAAGAGTTTCAGTTGGGCAAGCTGAGCCATCCATTCCAACACCAGGAGAGAAGCCATAAGGCCAATCAATTTGCTGCGCGTTGAATTCTGATCCTCAAATTTGCCAGGGGTTTGGCAGGTGATCCAGATGATATCCCTGCGATCCTCAGTGAGAATTTGAGCGCATGCTGTGCCCACTTTCGCTTTGTAAGAGCCGTCGCTCACGGCACGGAGAGTACCATCAAGAAGAGCCTGGACCAGGCAATCCTCACTACCTTCAATGGTAATGACCTCAGGAACCCAGCCGTGAGAACCTGATTCAGCCATACTGCCAAAGTGGTGCCAGAGATCAAGGATGGAAGATGGGGGGGCAGGTGTTTTGGTTGGTTGGTGAGGGCCAGTAGAGTGGAGGAGGACTTGGCTCTTGTGGATCGTATATATATATCCCTTAACGCTTTAGACGATATAATATATCGGATAAAAAAAAATTCCACACATTTCACGCAATAACTTCCGTCACGTACAAATACACCTTTTACTGCCATAAATAAGTTTATTGCCAGTGAAATAAGGAATTCATCGGTATGCTACATGTTATATCTCAGCCCATCACAGAAACAAGGATGAACCTCCGAAGTCGGACAGACCCATTTGCCCCAAAACTGACACCAACACAAAACTGTCTCGTCAGGTCATGAAGACGGCATATTCTTCCACCCTACCATTTGCCATTGATATGTATTATCACAATGGCACTTCTCGGCCCTATCAGAAGGTGCAATAGGCATGGGAGAGGACCATGCGGCTCAATTTGGTGGTCTGATGGACCAAAAAAATCTGAGTATGTTGCTCGTCATCCCGAATGTAAATAGTCATGCAAGACAAAGGCCAGCACCTTCAAGGGTGAAGGATAGTCATTCGAAAGTGATTCTAGTGTTGATTGCAGTGTGTAACTGTATTTTCATGGCTGTCAATCCTGCAAAGTAGGCTGTTGGCAATTGCGTTGTGGCAGAGTTACATGGCCAACGCATTATGTGACAATATACCAAGCGGAGCACCAATGAAGACGTTTAGAATGATTGCCACATCTAAGCCATGGCTTCCTGCGCCTAGATTCAGTAGAAAACAGTAAAAGCACACTGTTGCTATCAAGAAAGGAAATGAGCAACTCCATGTGGCCGATTTCGCTTATCAGAAGGCTCTGGAGAAGCAAAATGGAGCTACAGCAACAACTAAGCTTACTGTACCTGCTAGGAAGTATTTATATTTAGATTTTTCCCTTTGTAATGATCATTTTAATGCTTATTATTGTAGTAGTATGGTGTAAATAGTAGTGCGTAATTTTTTTTATATCTGATATAATATATCGGATAAAATCGAAGCGTTAAGGGATATATATAACTGAATCATTAATTGGTTTTTATGCTACTTCTAGAGTATCCAACTGCCGGTGTAATACAGCTGTAGAGGCAAGGAACTATGCTGCTTTTTTCAACGAAAGATAAAAACAATGGCAAGGCAAGATCGCCGTACAAAGATGCTGAAGAAAGAGTGATTGACTACATCCAAGCCTCTGGAATCAAATGTTCAGCAGACATGGTGAAATTGATTTGAGATGGAAAGTTGGTCGACTTCAATGCAATCACTCCAAAGTTGAATGCTCCAACTCAAACGGAAGTTGTTGCAAGAGAAAGAGAAATGACCCAAAACAAGATTCTCTATCAAAGCTTGCCAAGGATATGAAAACAGTAGCATACTTTGAGACAAACAAGCAAACTGTTAAGTCAACCATCATGCTTAAGTTTGCAACAAAAGAGATGGATATCAAGCTTTGAGGTCAAGCCAATTTCACGACTACTCTTGAAGATCCAATCGAACTCTTGAAGCATATTGAAGAATTCATGAAGAAGAGTGCCCATGCTGAGTATGATTTCTTGGATTTCTGGGGGAAGCAAACCAAAAATTATTTGCAATGAGACAAGGAACAACCGAAAACTTGATGCATTTCAAGGAACGATTCTTGAGACAAGCAGAAGTCCTACAAGATCTATATGGTGTTGCCTGGTTCCAAAGTTTTGCAGTCAAGACCAAAGCGTATGCTGCTATTGCTAGCACTGATACTGCTGCTAAAGACAAATTCAAAGATGACATCTTTGAAGCCGTTCTTGTTACAGGATTTCTATGCAATTGCAATTAGACAAGAACAGCTCCTCTAATACTGGATCTTCAGAAGAACTATTGCAAGGAAGTGGATTATTATCCAAAGACAGTCAGCAGAGCACAAGATATGCTGAAGCTGCACATGGATGTCATTAAGACTCCAGGAGTGAACCTCTGCCAAGGAAAGGACCAAAATAAAGGTAAAGGTAAAGGTAAAGGTAAACCAAAGGATGGAAAGAAGAAAGATGCAGCATATTATGTATGTGGCAACAAGGACCATATGTCATCAAAATGCCCAGACAGACTGCTGCCAAAGATTCAATGGAAAGAGCCGGGTAAGCATGTTTATTATGAAAAGAAGCTCAATCTGAACCAGATTGGAGCAACAGTTCCAGCTACAGTTCCATCTGCTTTTCCTGGTGCTCTGCCAGTAACAAGTATTATCACAAGTGGAGGATCCAGTATTGCCGGAAGTGTTAACACACCTTTGCGACTTGCTGGTACTACAGGGAATCAGGTGATGCAAGTTCCTGCGGGAATGCAACTGATGCAGATCCCAACTCAAGGTGGCGGCACTGTGACTGTCGCCTACACTATGAATTCTAATGGTGAGATTGCGTTCAGTGGAATGCAACTCAGCCGACAAGGATTAAATGGTGCTCAAATGCGCCAAGGATTTGATGCAACTCAAGCTCAAACTCCGCATGTCATGAAGACTGGCTATTTTGATACGTCAAATGTATTCCATGATGCTATCAAGGGAAAATAATAATAACTGAAACATTAATCGATTAAATGCTATCTAGCGCATACGATTGCCGGTGGAATAAGCGGCTGTAAAGGTCAAGTACCGTGAAGCGACGAGTCAACAACTAGTTTGAACCATTGGAG